GAGTGTGCATGTGTGCATGCATGCATGAAAGAGAGGAAGCAAGAGAGATCATAAAACCAATCCTTTTCAAAATAAGAGGCTATTCACAAACATCAATTTATATAAGGTCTAGAAAACATAACCATTAAAATTTTTCTTCTTTTATTTCGTTACCTTAATTAGGGAAGTTATATGTTAATCAACTCAGAGACCCGTCCTGAAAGGGTGGCCTTCATCTGACCAGGGAAAGTAAAATATTAATTCCTTGAAGGTCAAAAAAAGAAAAAAGAAAAAAGGTGGAGGGACAGGACCAGAAGAACACACACAAAAAAAGTGGAGTGAATTAAAATACTAATGAAAATAAAAAAGCAAGAGTGAAGTAAAATCCAAGTCACACTAAGACTTTAAGGTCTCTCAGCACGACAACAAATGAAATCAGAAGAATTCAAATCATCTGTATCCCAGCTATTGCCTTGAGGAGGTAGCAGATAGTCAAAACTACATCCACTCATTAATCCTAAATTAACCCCATTTGGGACCACATTTGCTTTTGTTCTAATACTTGTCAAATTGAAATAAGAGGCAACTTTTAGCCTTGCCTCAACAGGAACAGCAAGACCAGGAGATATCAACCAGAAACACTATGTGAATCCTGACTCCAGGAAGTCAAGAATTCATTCTGCCAGGAGGAGCTCTCTGTGACCAAGACTTTAGCCATCATCTCTTGTATGCAAAAACAGTGGGACTGGAAAGACATTTATCTAATAAATGTATTTACTGCTTCACCTCTGTCTGCACCTCTAGCCTCCGGAGAACTACCAGCTGGATCCGCCCACGAATGTTCCCCTCCATGGACATGGAGCGCCTCAGTGTTTCCATAGCCTCATGATTTGACTTGCCCAGAAGTGACTCCCCATTTACTGCAACAAGCTGATCATTTACTCGCAAACGACCATCCTACAAGCAAAAAATAAAAGCAAAATATTTTTTAAAAAACTAAAGAATTATTAGGCAGAGGGTGCTACATACAGGAAAGCAAGATGCAGATAATCAGACATTGCTTTCTAAAATTTAAGAAACAAGAGACTGCACAGTACCAGGTCTTTAAAAAGAAAAATCTTTGTCCCCATTAATTGACCATTTTTTCCCTCCATTTACTACATTTCGGGAAGAGTTCATAGGGCAATTACAAACATAGAAGTGCATGCAGACGCTGCTGTTTTTCTTGCATGTACAATTTAATTTGTATCAGATCTAAAGAGAAAACAGGAAAAGGAGCTTTTGGTTAGTTAAAAGGACCCACACCATACCTGTTAGAATCTGCAGTGCAACCGCGAAGGAGTACTGCAACATATTTTCCATGCATTATTATCTGCTATTAGAGTCTGGTAAGCAGCAGCTCCAAAAATTTTGTCTTACAGTCTTACTAGTGTCTATCTTGTCACAATTACCATGCCACCATATGGGGTAGTGTTCTCAGTTCAGAATGGTCATTAAGACTTAGGCATCCTTATTTTAATTAATGCCATCTATGTATTTTAACATCCAAACCTGCTGCCAAAAACAAAATTAGGGTTGAGCCATACCAAGTAGCCTATGCTTTGAAAAACGTCATTCAGTTTCATTGCCAAGGTTAACTGACATTCGTGGGTGTAATAAAATGGTGAACACTGCTATTTTGTGATTTAGGAGTCCTATTGCTGTTGTCATTATTATCTGTGATTTATTTCTTTTCATAAAAGCATGTGCCATGGACTTTTCTCTCTTTAACAAGAAAATAAGGTCTATTTAATTAAGAGACAAGAGTTTCTTTTAAAGCTTGTCAAGTTGACAATTATCAGGTCGGCATCAGATCTCAAAGAAGGAAGAGAAAGAGGAAGAAACTGAAGACATCTAATATAGAAGGGCAGTGAAGAATGAATAGCAGGGAAAGAACGTGCATAGAAATACATTTTCTGGTTAAAATGAACCTGATTCATTCATAGGCTCATTACATACTCTTCATAAGGCACTTGTCCGAACTGTTTACATATTTCATGCATCTGAGTAATCCAAAATATATATACTTTTTGATTTTATTTTTTCTATCACTAAGTGTTCAATTAACTATTTGGTGCTTGCTGCCAAGTCAAAGTCATTTGTGTTCAAGTGAGTTGCAGTAGCTGTGACAAACCCAGCTTTCTTAAGTGTTATTTTTGTTGGAACTGGGTATCATCTTTACCCCAGCAGAGTATGAATAGCCACGGAGCTGAAGAACAACAGCATATACCAGAATCCAAAATAAACTGGGAGGGACAAGAAGATGGAAAGACAGAACTGGGAGATGAGTGACTCAGTGAAGGAAAGTGAAGAGAAATAAAACTTTTCTGGGGAGGGTATGGGAATGGAGGATAAGAAACAGCAATGCCATTTGGAAAAGATACTGAAACCTCTCCCACCTCTCTGCTGAATATTTCATGCCAACATAAATTTACATACAGCCAAAGCCAACAGGTTAACCCCACCCTTTCTCTACATACACAATGATGCCATCACACATGCTAAAGGTTAGGGAGAGAAGAGTTAACATTGTTGAACAGGGAGTTTTATTATTTGCACATGTTGTAATTCCTTTGTGTTCGATCAAAATTTACTGAAATGAATGGAGCCATTCATGGCAACAGGAGTTTGAGGAAAAAAGATTTTATTTTCTGTGAGTTTCTGTAAGACTTTGAAAATTTTACGGGTCCTCATGTCCTCCTGCTATGGTCCCACAGGTTCTTGGATTACTTTTTTTTTTCCTTTCTGTGGATAAACACCCATGTATAAATATCCGTTAAAGCTTCTTACTAAAGTATATACAAATACATTGTCAAATGCATCTTGTCATGACTACATCTGTTGACTACGCAACTGTCCTGAACACAATGCATATTTTTAAATGAATCACTGCAGCCTCAGAAAGCTCTGAATTGGCCTGATTTTTAATTTGCCTTTTGTATGAGACTTTGTATTTCTTTCTTTCTATTTTAATAATGTCAGTTCTTAAAGAACTTTTTTTGATGCATCTCCCTTCTTCTCACTGTTACATGCTCCACTTAAATGCAAAATTCAACTTGAATTCAACACTTCAGCTATGATCGGAGAAAAAAGGTGTGCGTGTTTTATAAATGCTGATCAACTATACTTGCTAAGTCACCTGTACAAGGTAGGCTGGAAGACAGCTGAACACTGTTTTCACACATGCTCAGGTAGAAGTTATTTCACAGAAAAACCTTTTGCTATTTTAAAGACTGAAAAAAAAAAATCCCAATATCTAAACAGTTTCCAAACACAGATTTTCACATCACTGGTGTTATGGTCTGGTTTAGAAGCCTGAACTGAAAGATAATCTGCTTGGGTCAAAACAAGCTAAATGTTGTTTTAACACGTTTTTTCTTTTATCTCTGAAAGGTAGGTTTCTTCGTGGCTTCCGAGTAGATAAACAACATTTGGCATTTCAGCAAAATAGTTTTCAAATGCCATCTCTGAAACTGCAAGTGAGCTATTCTAATAAAGGGTGAAGTTACTGCTCCCTTGCTTATTCAAAAAATGTTGGGTTTTTTATGGAGACTCACAGCAAGGGGTAGAACCTACCACCACATGGCTACCAAATTCAGACAGTCACAGCAGAGCAGGGAGACACAATGACATGTTCTTCATGGACTTATGTTTTTAATCAAAGCACACCTAGTTATTTCCCTTATCACATCATTGACATTTCTTGAAGAAGGAATTCCTTGATGGCATTTATTGGAATCATCCAATTTCCCCATCCACTGCACACAACAAGCAACGTTTACTGCAACAGCACTCAGAAGCCCCAAGGAGGTTCAAGCTACACCGTGTTTGATTTGAACAAATGCTCACATAGAAAATACTCCATTATTTCTAATAATGGCCCTGCTGTATTTCAGCTGCAGTAGACAGCAAGTACCTGATCATCAAGAATACATCACAAGTAAAAAGCCAAGATGTCTCGAGATGAACAAGGCTGAAATCCCTAAAGTTATGGGGAAAGATGATGCATTAAACTCAGTCAAATGTTAGTTTTCCTCACATGAAAGGCTCTGCATAATTACAAATATCAAGTATTCTAGTAACCTCTTTATCTTAGCGATGATGAAAAATAGATACTTCAGAAATTACAAAAGGAGGTTAAGAAGGGACATAATGGTTCAATCAGCAAAAGTAACTTTTTATTCCTGCAGGATACAGTGTTAGAATACCAACTAAGAACATTAAGACATTTTTACTTCATTTAGTTTTGTAGCAAGAGCAGTAAATAGGCACTGAGTCTTACTGTACAATGTATGACACAAGATGCATTGATATTTTCTAAAATCTTTAGCTAGGACAAAAAAATCATAAAGTATGGAATTAAAGACTTCAATTTTCCCTTACGTGGTTTTTTTCTTTGTTTGTTTTTTCGTTGAGCTTTTTTTTTTTTTTTTTTACAACTCCCTTACTGTGCTTTGCAATGCCACTAACACGTCAGAACTAGATTAATGTGTTAATGTTTCGAAAAACACTAAAAAATATTGGCCTCTCTTCAGACCTTTGATTCAGACCAATAATGGATAACAGTAACCAACCAAATTGTCTGCATCTCATACATAACTCTTCATTCTAAAAAACACACTGGTGAAAGAAATTTAATCTACCAAAACCTTTATACAGCATTAGAAGGTCTGAGCATTTACTTCAGCAGTGAAACAAATGTGTTGAAGTTCAATGTATTACACGTTGTCTTTTGAAGACAAGCGGTGGCTGTACAGACAAGGGGATAAAGCTCCCCCTTATATTAGCCTGATATCACGAAATCAGAACAAATTTTAAACTCTAAATACAGAAGTGAGAAATAATGACAGAATTCTCACGTCAGTGAGCATTATGATTTCCTCCTGTGATAGTTTTCCAAGAAAACTTTGCACACTGAAAAGCAAATGCACATGTCTAAATCCGTAATATTCTGTTTCAGAGAGTTACAATGAATAGCATGGGAAAATGCTCTGGACAACTACCAGCTGGAAAGAAAGGCTTTTTATTTAAAAACTTGCTACAAGACGACATTTAAAATAAGGACAATAAGGACATCTTTAAATATTTGTGCACAAATATGTGCATACTTTTTAACTTGATACAAGAAATTTTATTAATTGTTAATATCCACTGATTATGTTTTGTTCTATATAAAGGTCATTAGATAGGAGAAAGACAGCTGTTCTCCATGCATACACAGCAGTGAACTGTGGTTCTTAAGACATTGCCAAAATGACTGCATTCTGTGAGTACTTGTATAAAACACATAGGAAAGATCCCCTGAACAGTTCTGGCTGAAGCTAGAGCCTCAGCTACTATCTCATTTGCTCTGGAGCCTACACTCAGACCTATTACTACACAGTTCTAATTGGTGAAAGGGTTATAACGAGGTAGAATAGAGGATAGGTCACAGGACCACAGGTTATCACAAGACAAAATAATCTTCCAGTCACGGTGACTGACTATGCCAGTTGCCCGTTTACTTAGGTGTGAGCACAGAAGTCCTGCTTTATTAGTCTGCAGACCCCTCAAGCTAAAATTAGCTGCTCTGGAGTGAGTAACTATGGGAGAATAGAGAGTGGTAAACATACAGAGCTAGAAAGGGTTGTCTTATGCGTCTGTGATGTGAGAAGTCAGGTAGCCAGCCCACTAATGCTGCCAGAATATGGCTCCACAAGCTTTGCTATTCCAAACAATAAGTTTATTCATGGCAATATACACTGTCACTGCAACTGGTGTGGACAATTACTCAGGGAACACAGATCTGGGAAACCAAGGAGGGCAGCCTCATTTTCATGGCAAAATGAGTTGTACTTTGTAGAAGACATGCACATAAATTGAGTTTATCCAGCCCTAATTTGGCCAATCGTGCCTTAACTAATTTCTGATATACACCAAGTAGATGAGCTTACTCACTTGTCATTTAGCCCTGAGTTAACTACGGACAGTGTTCTGAACTGCATGTACCAGGCTCAGTTATACTTGAGAAGATCTGAGCTTTGAAATAACTGAGGGACTAGGACAGGTAAATAATAGAAGCAGGGAAGTATTAAACATTCACATCAAAGCTAAATCCTTGATTATTGCTATTTACCAGCTGCTGTAAATAGATGATTTACATCTGAAAGTTTTAATGCTGTGAATTGTCTTACTCAGCAGGCTGATGTCAGTAGAGGAATTTACATACACTGAATTAAAAGGTATTTTTACACAAAAGAGAACTGTGAGGAATTGCTGAGATAACACAAGGGAAAAAAATCACATTATGGATCCACAACAGTTAAAAATACTAGCCCTGAAAGATTAAGAGTTTTGTTTCTAATTTCAAGAAAGTTACCTGGTTCAGGTTTTATTTGGGAAAAAAAATGCAGTCAACAGATTTCCTAAAGTTTAGAAAATAAATCAAATGCTTTTTAATCATAAAAATGTTCAACAGTCCTTGTATAGTCCTCAGAGGGAGCAGAACAATTCATAATACTGTCATTTACCAATTTAATATTACCAATTCAATCCACCTCAGGAACAATTGGTAACTTCTGTGCAATTGATGCCAGGCTCAGCCAAGTCGCATTTTTACTACAATGGTAAAAAATATTTTGAGTAAAAAAAGAAAGAAAACTATGAGCTAGCTTTTTATTTATAGCATAAATTAAACACATAACCCTTAACCTCACAGAATTGTCAATTTCTAATTTTTGTAAAGAAGTTTGTCTTCTGATTGTTTTTTATGGGTCTGCCTGTATCACTTTGGGAGGACCCAAAGCAGTGCAGATAGACAATAAATGTAGGTATCTAACTTCTGTCACTGAGCCTAGTGGCACGCAAACTTTCCCATCCACTTCTGTGGGCTGCGGGGAAGCTGGGAGGCAGCCTCTCCTCATACCCACACACCCTTAGCCTTCTCCCCCTTCCCCATTTCATGCAGCATCCCAATGCCCCTCAAGGTTTCCAACCAATTCACTTTCCTTGTGGCAAACTCCACCACACACACCACCAGACTCTTGGGACAAAACATTAGTAGATTTGCAGTTCACCTAAAGGAATGAGTGACAGAAAGGTATTCGTTCCTAGAATGTTTATCAAGTGAGATTCAGTACTCAACACAGAAATGTCAGAACTCTAATGCAGTCATCGTCTGATGTGTTTCTTCCATACCTTAAAAGCAGCACCGCCGTGAATAACGGATTTGATGAAAATCCCAAGATCAGCTCCAGTCTCCCGAGATTTGTTGCCTTTTAAGCTCACACCAAGCCCAGCAGAGCCAGAATCATTCAGAGGAATCTCAAAGGTCAGTTGCTCTGTGGTTTCTGGAGAAAGAATACTGCAGTTTGGCTCTCCTTTCTGTTGGAGAAAACAAGGATGAAAGTATGGGTGAAAAGGGGACAGAGACAATGCATAAACTAGTTGTATCCATAGGTTCATATGACAAGAAATAGTCCTCTTTTCCGCAAAGTAGCTTGAAGAAGCTGCCTTATAACCAACAATGCATTTAGCTGACATTTTGTCACATGATCTGGCTTAAAATGTTATTTTTAATGATACCTAGGAATATGCCTAAATAGAAGGTAAAATAGCTTAGTTCCACATGATATAAAACTGATGTTGCAGCAGAATATAAAGAAGACATTTATTTTAAACACAGCTGCATTAAAAATGTAAGCCATAAAACTCTCACCATCTTTACATGCAGCTCACAAACTGTAATGATAGTTGTACTGTTAAATCCCATTCCCCTCTGAAAATTGAGTTTCACCCTTAAAAAATTATCCTTCCCTTAAACCTGTCTACAGACGGAAGTTGGTGTAACAAAAGCGAGGGTGAGAATTGAAAACGCAGTAACTTATTCTGCACTAACTCCCTTTGTACATACTTTTATTCCATAGAGGTTTGGGGTTTTTTTTTTCCTTCTGCTATAGGTTGATCCCAAAATTTTTCCTAGATTAGATTGCTGTTTACAAGACTGCCACATCAAGTATCCATAGTGAGGGAAGATCAGAATGAACTTTCTGTTACTGTACACTGTATCTGCAGTTTTGTAGGGTTTATGTTGCTGGGGGGGGTTTGTTTGTTTTGGTTTTTTTAAAGCAGGTTAGAATCATGAAATTAAACAAAATCAAATTCTAGCCTGAAACAGTCACACTGACACTCTACAGAAATAAAACTAGGACAAGGAGACCTACTATGGAGTAAAGTGTTCATGGAAGGTATTAGTGGAGACGACCTTACGCATCACATCTGATTTTATTCCACTCTTCCTTCTCCATATAACTCTAAGACAATTAATTAGTTTATGTTTCTTGTCATTTGGACATTTTCTATTCTTTGTAACAGTAGTGTTAAAAAATTAATAGGAAAAAATCTATGAAAAGGAAATAGACAAGTACAAGTTGAAAAAGATGACTGGGGGCTGGCTTTCAAAGGTGTCAAAGTCTTACGTTAAATTATCAAGTAGAGGCCACATGCAAGGAGGAGTGTAGTAGCTGGGCCACTCTGCCTTTTACCTAATGAAGGATTGTTTCCAGGACCTAAGCTGCAGTACATACAGTATCAATGCCATTGTCAGCAAAGGTGCCAGCAGTACAGATGTTTTCTCAGCAGCCAGAGTAGTCTCATATATTCATCTATTATGCTGTCTGATCAACAAGAAGTACTATCACAGAACTAAGAGCAGAAATTAATATCCTGAAGCAACAAAAAATTAGAAACAGTAACCACTAAATATACTTTCACTTATTTCAGATGCCCCTTCACTGATGAGAAGCAGCTACTGGCTAGAGAGGAATTGCGTGAGCCAGAGAGCTAGGACTATAAACCTCAATCCCAATATGCACCATGCTCAAATTCTTCCTGGAATGTAACTCCATGATATTAAGTCAACACAATTTGCCTAACTGCCAAATACAAAGATGACATAGCACCAACACTGACAACTGTCTTGATGCCAGCACTCATCTCCAGTACCTGTGTTACTCATTTGTGCTTTGTAGACAATTCTCAGTTACAAATCTGTCACTTTTATTTCTTAGCTATGGATATAGAGACATCCTGAAGGTAATCCCCCAAAACCTACAAATTCATACTTACTACTGTGAACAATACAGAATGATAATTTGTAAACCCTCCTACTCTGACTTCCTTCAAAAGAATCAGTGTAAGGAAAAAACCCACTATTACTGGCCTTCTAACATAAGCATTTTGCATTTAACTTTCTCAAGGTTTTAGAGGAAAGATTTTCTGCCCAATCTTCTGTTTTTCAAAATGCACATATTCTCGTCAGCTGATTCAGAAATCTTAGATCAGAATTCTACTCAAATGGCACATCCTGTCCAGATTTGAACAGAGGACATTTTTCTCCAGGTCCCAGACGTGTGATGTCTCTGGCAGCCCCTCAGGACAGTCTATTTTGTATTACTTTCATGGTCCCCTAGGCAAGCAGTTCCTGTGTGCTGCTGCTGTTCTTCCACTTGAAGAACCCATGACACCTGCACCAGACTCTTGCACCTTCTGTATGTCAGTACTGTGGTTTTGTCTTTCCCAATACCACGAGGAAAGCAGTGAGGGGGGTTGTTATCACAGGACATAAAAGCTCTCAGTGCCCATGCCTACCTTCACCAGAGCAGTTACAAATTGCTTGATAATGTTACCGCAATATGAACTTGGACTTCATATAAAACTGAATTTGGTCACATTCAGATCAATTTTTAATGGGGATGGCTGAAGGTAAGCCCTGGTACAAAGGCTTGTATTCTGCAAAAATCTTTAAAGGAAAAGGTGACACAGTATTTTTGTCAAGAAAAAATTACGTATTTTTTTGTTAGTTTCTTTCTCAGGAGCATCTTACCTGTTTCACTTTATGGTCTAAGATGTACATTAATTTCAGGCTAAGGACTTCATGCATTTGTTAACACAAGCTTCTAAAAAACCAAAGACAACAGGATCTATACATGTCCCTCAAGCCAATAAATGAAAATAAACTAGGCAGATGAGTCTGTTTGAATTCAAGTCAAGTGCTCTAATCAATACCATTCTTATTTGTACTATCGCTCTTGTCGCTGACCCACCGGTGACACTGATGACAAGGCTGCAGCCCCCCCCCACCGTGCCCAAGGCCTTGGCAGTGTTGGGAGCAGTGGTGGCTGTAGGAGGCAGGACACCATCCCCTTCTCCACAGCACAGGCACAGGCTCTGTAGCAGCACTGTGCTCAGCTCTAGGCTTCAAGAAACAAGCTGGATGGATTCCAGAAGACAGCAATCTAACAACCTTGTTTAACCTTGCAAAAAAAAGCCTAAAAGGGACATAATAATAGTCTTCAAAACACTTTACAGTAGCATTTTCCCCCTTTTTCTTTACAGGCGATTTTTGACATCAGAAATATCTCACTTAAATAGCAGGCAAGGAAATGTCGGTGAGTCTTAAAGAAAACCTTTGCCCTCAGTTTCTGGGGAAAAAAGACTAACTAGGTGGTCACTAGAACTCTCCCGCTATAAACTTACTAAGATAACGATATTACACATAGAATCTAAAACTGGACTAAGTTATACTGACAAACTGATACAAATAAATTGCTAAAAGCAGAGTAATAAAAAAAAGTAACAGTCGTTCAATGTTCTATAGTATTTCCCAGCTTCCTTTAACGTAACTATGCCACGCATTAGCTCTTGTTACGTAACCTACCAGATCACTGTCTGCATGCCTGGATGTGTTATCCA